AGAGGGAGAGGGAGAGGGAGAGGGAGAGGGAGAGGGAGAGGGAGAGGGAGAAGAACAAAATTCCATAGGAAATTTAGGAAATAACTGGAGTTGAGATCCATATATTCTACATACAAGTTCTACTATAAAAAATTATTTCTTGTTCTCCTTTGCTTCACAAATTCTCAAAATTAGATCTATTCTTACTAATAGTTGTTTGTCTAAAAATAAATGTCCAATAAATGAGGCAAAAAGCTTTCAATGTCGCCAATATCCAAAGAAATGCAAGTTTAAAGGGCCATAACATATCTCCTCACACTGATTAGGGTAGGCTTATGACATATGATAAATGATAGAAAGCACAGCAGTGCTGTTGGTAGAAGGGGGCCCCTCTGCACTCTCCATGGGGGAGGAAGTTAGTGCAGTCACAATCCAGAACTCTGTAGAAGCTCTGTAGAGCTTCCATGTGATCCAGCCATTCCACTTCTGTGTAACTCTACCAAAGTCAGCCTACTCAAGTGCTGTCTGCACACCATGTTCTCTGCAGCATTATTCTCAAAACTGTTTTTCAAAGGACCTGTGGACAAAGAAAGGGACAATGCAACACTCCGCAGACCTAGAAGTACATTCTTGGGACAACATCAGTGAAGATGAAACTTATCTTCATCAAATTAAATTACCCACCTACAAACCATCACATAACTTGTAATCTCACTCAACGATGAATGTTAAAATCACTGGAATAGGGTGTCCTATCACAGTGGCCAAAGGCCAGGAGAGTCACCTTTCAGGTTACATGATACAAAATTGCAGCTGCTAAGAACTGTTAACTACAATAGACCTGCTTTACAATGATGCAATTTTTTTTGCTTTAAAATTACTGAGAGTTTTAAAAAATATTTCTGATTATACAAAACTAATAACTATGTAGGATGACATGTATATTTAAATAGATTAATGCATTTCCTTATGTATACATAAATATAACAAAACTTCATGCTGTAGGATATGTACCTAATGCTTACTTATTAATTAAAAGACATCAGTTAATTTCTCTCACAAAATTATAAAATCCATAGATAAGAGTGGGAAAAAAGTTTGGCTTTGATTTGATAATTGTTTACATTTGAAAGCAAAGTCCCTATTTAAGAAAAAAGAATTCATAAAGTGAAGTTTGTTAAATTTAAACTATTTTGCTTTGCAAAAAGCAGTGCTATGAGTGATAGAAAAAAATAAATCACAGACTGGGAAAACAATTGCAAAATGGTAAATGAAAAGCAGACTGTTATCCAAAATACATTAAAACAAAAAAACCTTCGAATTCCCTGTAAGGAAATCAACAATCTGATCACAAGGAGACAGAGATCTGAAAAGACATACAACCAGAGAATATTTTTTCTGAGTTCACATAGTTTTGAACACAAAAGCATATGTAACATCTTTCATAGCATACATGATGAGAAAAATATAAACCAGAACAAGGATATAGCACTACATACTGATTTGGCTGGAAAAAATGCAGCATCCTGACAACAGTGCAGAGAGGCAGTATTAGGACTCAAAATACTATGAACACAAGACGGAACAGACACTTTGGAAGTTTGGTAATTTCTAATGTAAGTGATTTTGTATATACATGTATGGATAAACAGGTTCATGTTTATCTGAATAAATAAAGTCACTGGGAAAAAAAGTTTTCATAGAGATATGGTTGCTTTACTAAGAACTAGGAAATCACAGAAACATTCAGGGTCATTAGGTAATATGTTGTTTGTAGAGACATATTAGTTTTCAGTATAAAATGAAACATACTATCAACTCATGAAGAAAAGACAAGAAAGAAAGGTAATAAACATCTGTCAGTAAGTGAAAAACTTTACCAGTCTGTAAAGGCTGCTGAGATGCATGTTTCCAACTATAAGGCATTTGCTAAAAGCCAAGGTTATGATGATGGTGTACGTACACACACACACACACACACACACACACACACACAATTGCCAAATGACAGGATCAAATGACAAGGATTCATCCTTGTAAGGAAAGATGACTTTGACTTGGTGGAACCCAGTGTTTGTACATCTATTTCTGACCTCATAGAAATTGCCATTACAGGCTTGTCAAAATACAAAGAAAGTACATAATACAGACAATCCAAATGAAAACTATGGATTGTTTTTAGAAATGGTTTGTTTGGCAGAACCATGAGTTATCACAAAAAGTAACACTCTGAAGGGAGATGCAGGAAATAGGGGAATCATTGCATGTCCGACTGCTTGCAAGGTTCAAGGTAACACTACTCAATTTGCCTGTCAACCTAAAACTCACAAAATTAATTCATTAATCCATAAATGTACAACTTAAGCTGAGAATGACAATTTGAAGAAAATTGACAATGTGAAGGTCTAGTGAATTGCCATCCAGGAAACTTGTATGTAAGCTATAATCAGAAGACAGCATATTGTTAAATGTAGAACTAAACCAATGTGATAGAGGCATGACAGAAAAAAAAAAAGTATCAATGGTGCCACCTAGAGACATAGAAGTTGCCTCCAAGCAGATCAAATTAAAGGCCTTAAAAGTCAGATCAAAGGTTTATGCAAAACATAACATCAATACATTACAAGTGTTGAGCCAATGTAGAAATATGGTAGTGTTGTGGTTTGAATGTAAAATATCTCTCATAGGGTTATATGCTTGAACAGTATTTTGAAGACTATATGACCTTCAATAGTTGTAATATAAGAGAAGGAAGTGAGTCACTGGGACAAACCTTGAAGTTTGATAGCCCAACCCGACTTCCTCGTCTTCTCTGCTTTCTCACTACAGACTTGGTAAAAACAGCAACTTCATACCTCTGCCAACCGTGATGGACATTGCCTTTAAACCAAGAGACAAAATAAACAGTTTGTTTTTCCAGTTGCTTTTGTAAAATATCTTCTCATAGTAATAAGAGTCTAAACAAGCACAGCGGGTGTTTGCCTGGTGAAAGGAATGGGAAATGTGATCTTGAGACAAACCAGAGGACTTTATCTGTAGTTAGGACTTTGCAGTTTTTTAGTGAAATACACAAGTTACTATAGCTTTGAGTGTGTAAACGTCAGAAATACAGAACTGGCAAAGTCAGAAAGGGTAGGATTTAGAAAGGGGAAAACATATTAAGGATTACTCACCAGCTTTAGATGAGGCATTGGCTTAGATTGCAGAATCGAGATTTGGGAACCAATAGTCTTTGATGGTCATATCAAGTGTTCTGTTGTGGTCATGTTGATTTGAATATGCCTGATGACAATTAAATAGGCTGCCTTAAATATTTCCTTTTATTACATTGGAAATGAATGAAGTTAGCTGGGTTAAAATATAGGCTCAACTGGCTTATAACATCACAAGACTAGATATAGTAACATAGAAATGATGTGAGCAGAAGAGTGAAGCCTCTAGGATAAAATCACCGAGATGATGAATTTCACCACCTGGAGAACTTTGCTGACCTTTTTGCAGTTTTACACTAGTAAAGTTAAAGGTCATTTTTCTGTACATTGCACATTTAATTCAACCCAAAACTATATTTTTGTATTCTTAAGAGGAAATTATTTTGAGATCCATTAAAGCTCTCCCATGTATCTGAGACAGAAAAGAAAAGACAGACAAGCATCAGCTTCACTTGCTCTCACTGTCACAGTTCACTGAGATTGTCCCAGATGAACAATGCCATTGTCTGTTGAACAATGACCTGTTGAGGGAGCAACGAATCAATATTTGTTTCATAAGTGATAGAGAACCATGCTTACTATGTAAGTCAGACAATAATTCCTTACCATTGGGGCATCCTCTGACATCAATGAGTAGCTTTGTCCTACATCCTGAGTTTGTATCAGGAAACATAATGGAGAGAGAGAAAACGCTGAATAAATTGCACAGATGTGTAATTGACAGAGAAAATGATAAGTCACAAATGAGTTAATTGTTATTAATTAGAAATCTCAGATATGCTGAAAGATCATGCTTTACATTGCTTTTCCCCTTCAATATTAGGAGGAATTTAGAGTCACAACAATAGTTATTTTATTTACAAAGTCAGGAAGTTAATTATATTTTTATCTAAAATAATGTATTGCAACAATTTATTCTGATTTGTTACAGTTTGTATAAATTTATTATTATATAAGTATTAAGAAACTTTATCAAAATCTTTCATATCTCACTTAAATTTTTCTTTATTGAGTTTTGATCCATCTTTTTCTTTAAATAGAGAGGTGGTACTATTCTTCAATTAGAAAATGAATTGTACCTTAAGAAAAATCATAATCTCTCCCTCAACACAAACATTTCCATTTTTCTTAACCTTTTCATTGACAATTTAAACAATTGCTTTGTTTGATGTTACCAAGTAGCTTTAAAGTAAAAGTTACAGAGTTGAGTGTAAGAACTTTGACATCAATGTTCATTATAATTCGATTTGAGTTAAATAAGGCAAAACTAACTTACCAAAAATGTTCATCAGGGATTACAGGTGGGTCAGTCTTGTGGTCACTTGAAACTCAGATGGTCCTGTAAACAAACTCAAGGTGTGCTTTCTCTTTTTCCTATGGATGGTGGTCTTTCCTCTCATCTTTCCTTCAATCTTTGCCTTCATTCCTTCCACATTCATCCTTTTCTCTCTTCCTTCTCTTCTATGTGTTTTCCTTGTGAAGCCATTTTTGATATTTATTTAGTTCAAACTCTATTCTCTAAGCATTGTTTTGCTTTTCTTGGCTATTAAGTGCTTCATAAGTGTACAAGCTCAGCTGCACATCATTAAATCTAGAGACAGCACCAAGCCTTCTTGTAAGATTTTTTTTTATAAACAAAGTCCTTATGGAAGATTGTGGGGTTTTGTTGTTTGTTTTCCAATCACTATTATCTGCATTCTTACTTGCATATTCTTTGAATCTCTCTATTGATTTTACTTTTAAACCTCCATAGCTACACATTTAAAATAGGTATCTTCCACATTTTTCAATGAATCCTACGGAGTTTTCTTAGTCCTTTTTTTGTTTTTTAATTCCATGAGTATATTTTCATTTCACCTTGTAATTTTCCTTCTCTTTAATAAATGATTTGATTAATCTTTGCATACTTCTTTTATCTCACGGATGAATGTTAAGACTACTGGAATGGGTTGACTGAATATGCTTTGGAGTTCTTACCTTCAGTTTGCTTTCTGAACCAAGACCTACTTTGCCTTCTTGTCTTTCTTGTCTTTCTTGTCTTTCTTGTCCTTCTTGTCTTTCTTGTCTTTCTTGTCTTTGTCCTTCTTGTCTTTGTCCTTCTTGTCTTTCTTGTCCTTCTTGTCCTTGTCTTTCTTGTCTTTCTTCTCTTTCTTACCACCCTCTTTTCCTTCTCCGTCTCCCTTTTTCTTCTTCTCCTTATCCTTCTTCCCTTCCTTCTTTTCCTCTTTCTTTACATCTCCCTTTTCACTTGCAGAATCTGTAACTGTCTCTTTGCTTTTTGAACCCTGTTTAATGGGTTTTTCATCTTTCTTTTCACCATCTTTGTCAGCTGATGTAGTTACAAGTGTTTCTTGTGAAGCCTTTGGGCTTTTCTTACCTGTCTTGGAATCTTTCTTCACCCCAGCCTTTCCAGTTTCAGATTCTGAGGCTGAAACTTTATCCTTTGAGCCTTTTTTACCTGTCTTGGAATCTTTCTTCACAGCAGCCTTTTCAGCTTCAGATTCTGAGGCTGAAACTTTATCATTTGAGCCTTTTTTACCTGTCTTGGAATCTTTCTTCACCCCAGCCTTTTCAGCTTCAGATTCTGAGGCTGAAACTTTATCCTTTGAGCCTTTTTTACCTGTCTTGGAATCTTTCTTCAC